TGTGCGCGCGCGAAAGGCCCGCTTGGTCGCATGTTACGCAGATGTTGGAAAACCGTCAGTTTTCTGGAGAATCTGCAAAGACGCGAGCGCGAATCTTTCTAAACATCATTTTGCGGACTTACTTGCTTTTGTATGTTTTCGGGGTACTAGATCTCAACATCCTTACGACACCTAGAACGTATGTGGCAGATTTCGGCATGCGCGCGCGACGACGCGCAAGCGCGCACTTCGTCAACTTGTCTCGCAAACGGCTCTTAACAACTGATGACTTTTGATGAACGAGTGCGTGCGCATAATACCTGTGGGTGACATGAGGGGGAGGGTCGTTACTGGCTTGGCTCGGATGATGCGAGCTCAAAGTTCAGATGAACGATTTGGCAGAACCAATTGTAATTTGCAATACGACAAAGTGACCCGTGACGTCTTGAGGATAATAGATCCTAATATTCTTTGAGAAAGGAGAATCTATGCGAAGCGACGGCGGGGCGGCAACGGCGAGCACGGAACAGCCAGGCCGACGCCCAGGGCCAGACGACGGGCGGCGATAAGGCGGCGACGGCAAACACATGTTGGGGAATCTATGCAGATAACTATCCGCAACCGCGCCTCAGGGCACGGAGTGGGCGTGTCCTTCGGTCCTTTGCCTGGTCCCTTAAGCCTCGTTCCTCAATTTGGGAAGATGTTTGAAGAATCTTGAAGAGGCCCAGACCCCAAATTGCCAAATCTCTTTGGGTTTGTTGCACGCCCCCTGGGCCCCCAGCCATCTCCCAGCGTGATTTTTTGGGACCCAATCGGGCCCCAAGACGGGCCAATATGGCCCCAACAGACACCCAAGACGAAGAGGGCCGCGAGACGTCGGAAGATCGCTCCAAGACGCCCAACATGGCCCCAACACGGTCCAAGAGGCCCCCAAGACGCCCCAACAGGCCTCCAAGCGGCTTCCCACGTAGACCTTCACATGCAAACCCACTGATTTCCCTTATGATTGTTAACAGATTGTTGGTGTTTCTCGCCTTTTCGGCTTCCCGGCGCCCCAAGAAGGCCCAACAGACCCCCAACATCGCCCCAAGACGGCCCAACAGGTGCTCCAAAATAGCCCAAGAAGACGCACAACTGCCCAAGAGGCGCCCAAGACGGCCCAAAAGACCCCCAAGACGGCTCCAAGAGGGGGGCCCGACGAGGGATCTGAAAGGACATTTCGAACCCTCGGCCCCGAGAGGCCCCCAGGAGGCCCCAAGAGGCGCCCACGAGGCCGCCACAAGCGGCCCCAAGAAACCCCCAAGAGGCTCCCAGGAAGCCGCAAGAGGCCCCCAAGATGCCCTCAAGAGAGCCCCAAGAGGAAGCATCCCTGAGGACTCTGACCCACGATCCAGGCACGATGACGGATGGGCAGAAGGCCATTCTATACACATCTATTAGCGCAGATACATACATGTATGTGCGCGCGTATATATATATATATATATATATATATATACATAGATTCCATAAACAATGTTTGTACCTAGAGGTTCTTACATCTTTTCTAAGGCACAGGGCTGGTGTGCTGCGATGGCGGCTATGTTGCCGCCGTCACCGCCCCGTCGTCGCCTCGTCGCCGCCCGTCGTCTGGGCTCGTGTGCCGCTCTGGCGGCTATATTGCCGCCGTCGCCCCCCGTCGCCGCCCGTCGTCTGGGCTCGTGTGCCGCCGTGCCGGCTACATTGCCGCCGTCACCGCCCCGTCGCCGCGTAGATACGCATGTGCGTATGAATATGTGTTCCTCGCACGCGAGCCAACGCACACGCACGCACCAATCCATACGTGTGAATACGCAGATGTGTGCCACTGCAGTAGTCTGTGCATACATCCACGTGCATATTGGAAGAAGAGGTGGGTCAACCCGCAGCAGCTCCGATCGCAGGCCGCGGCCCGAGGCACGTGCGCGGCCCAGTGGGGGGGGCATGCAGTCTGGAGATCGCCCGGCCGTGGCCATGCCATCACCTTGTCATCACTAGAGGGCAGAAAATCCACCCCGATAATAACCACCCCGACACGCGAGGCCTTTAGTAAACACGCCCAAAGAAGGAATCGAACAGGGCAGGGCTGTTTAGTAAACGTCCAAGGCCGTTTAGTAAACGCCAATTGTCCGGTCCGGGTGGCTTTTCTTCCCTTGAATCACCCCCCCGGCCGCCCCCGATTTGGACGCCCGAAATGGGTACGGAAAGAATGGGTACAATGCCAAACAGCAGATGCTGTCCCAAGCCAACAGCGGCCGCTGTTGGGCAGGCGGCCCCTTGTCTCGAATGGACACGGGCCGCGGCGGCGCGGACAGCGAGTCCGGTTCAAAAGGAGCAAGAACGGCTGTTGGGTATTGTACTCATTCTTTCCGTGCCCATTTTGTTTGTGCAGAATGCCATCACCTTGTCGTCCCCCCCCCCCGGCCGCCCCCGAAGCCTGAAATTACCAACACATCGGACCGTGTCCGGCACCGCAGACAAACGAGGTTGAGCCGTGACTCCCACAGGGCAGAGGAACCATCCTCATAGTAAGCACGCCGACCAGCGAAGCCCTTTCGCCAGCGCTCCTGAAGACGGACTCGAACGTGGCAGGGCTGTTGAGTGAACGCCCGAAACTTTTCAATGATCGGCAATTCTGGGGTCCGTGTGAAACGAACGGGTCCTGAGGAAAACGGGTCCTGGATCCCGGGGCCTTCGCCCAGGACAAGGTCTTCATCCCGAATCGTTCCCTGACAATCCCGGAGCCCGTAAAGGGCCCCGAGAGCCCGAACACAACGAACAAAACTCAGGACCCGTTGCACTCAGGAACCGCTTCCTTCGTGGCGGTTCTTCCTCACTCGAACTCGGAAGCTGAAAACTCCAGGACTTCTCGACACCGCATGCGTAACCGACAAAGGAACCCTGGCCCTTTGAGAGGGGGACCTGAGTTAGGAGGACCAGACAACGATTAGGGATAGGGGGTCTTGCCTGCAGATGTATCGAACCGAGCCGTCCGAATGTTTTACCCCCAGTGCTAAGGCGGGGACCAGTGAGGCCACGTCTTCATCGTGTGATTCGGGTTTGGGTTTTTTCCGGTCTCGATGACTGCAGGGCCTCCGCGACGCCGAGAGGCCTCTCGCTGCGATGGGCTGCAGAGAGGTGGTGGGCCGGCGGTGCGCCCAGGGGGGAAGTGGGCCACACGCAAGAGAGACCCGAGGCAGGAGTGATCTTTGGTGCGCGGCTCTTGCGGGCCCCAGATCATACACCACCGCCACGTCGATTCCTCCTCCCTCCTCTGCCCTCTTCTTCCTCGCCTCTCTCCTGGGAGAGGGAGGGGGTGAGGGAGGTGATGGTGGTGGCCCCGAAACTTTAGGGGGCACTGCGGAGGCCAAATCCGAGCGTGCAAGCCAAGGTTGGGAGAGATCGCTCCGGCGAAGGGCCACCCTTACGCGCAGCGGGGGAGGGCAGAGTTGGGCGGGCCGTCCAGGAAGGCCAAGAGGGCCTGTGGCCTTCCGAGGAGATCGCTGAGCCTGCTCTGGAGCTGCAGTGGGGCTCCTCAGGAGGCCCGGAGGGCTTCTGAGAGGCCCCGCCGCCTTCTGAGAAGGCTTGCCCCCCCTCACTTCCCCCTTCGGCGCGCCGCCGAACCGGGACCCCCGAACAAGCCACGTGACGTGACGTCTCGGAGAGGCCGGGGGGGTCCTGGCGTTACCCGAGATGTCGAGGTCCAGCGTTTGCGGGGGTTATTCTGGAGGAATCCGTGCGGCCCCCCCTTGACGAGAACCCACGTGTGTACCATCGGGAGGCGATGTCATCGGACACTGTCGAAAGTGCTCATAATTTTGCGTGCTTGCTCATTTTCCTCAGGTTTGAGGGCGCACCCAAAAAGCTTAGAGTGGAGTAAGGCTGGAAATCGCAGTGGCCGAAAATGGCGCAGAGTTCCATACGAAAGCCTCCACATCGGCTACTACGTAGCGAAGATAAGAAGAACCTCGCGGTCCATACGTTCTGTGAATGGGCTGCGTATTTCACAAACGAGCCCATTTTCCAACCCGCGAGACGGCATGGATGAACACGTGATAGAGCCAACTTCTTCTTCCCGTTTCCACACGAAGAAAACGACACTCGATTGTACATCATAACCGCTAGAGTTTGTTCTGCCTCGGGGGTTGTCGTCCAATCAACCTGTTGTTGGAACGACGGGGGACAAGGCGAGTGCTCTGTCCGCAGGTGTGCAACGACTGACTGACAACAATAACTTTGAACGTCCCTGAGCGTGTACGCAATCCCGCTCTTATCCTCCTCCTCCTCCTCCTCCTCCTCCTCCTCCTGTTCCTCCTCCTGTTCCTTCTCCTCCTCTTTTTATATTTTTTTCTCCTCCTCCTCCTCCTCCTCCTCCTCTGGAGGCCGCCTGAATCGGATGCTGCACGTTTGGGTTGTGACGAGGGGAGGCGGAGGAGGAGGAGGAGGAGGAGGAGGAGGAGGAGGAGGAGGAGGGGGAGGCGGAGGAGGAGGAGGAGGAGGAGGCGGAGGCGGAGGCGGAGGAGGAGGAGGAGGAGGAGGGGGAGGAGGAGGAGGAGGAGGAGGAGGAGGAGGAGGGGGAGGCGGAGGAGGAGGAGGAGGAGGAGGAGGATGAGGAGGAGGAGGAGGAGCAAAGGGGGGGGGTGCGAATCAGCTCACGTAGCTGATTTTCCTGGCGCCTCCCGGCGCTGGGACCCTGGACTGGCGTGCAGGGCCTCCTAGCCTGTGCCTGGAGGTCCACACACCAGCCTAGGGCCCAAGCTGGACCTGGCCGGGGCTGCTGGTGGTGGTGTCTTGCTGGCGTCCCTCCGAGACAGGACCAGCCCCCCGGGCAGGCGGTCCGAATTGACACGGTCAAAGGCACCGGACACGTCGGAACAATCTGATCCGATCCGTGCTCCCTCAGCGAGAAGGCCAAGCCAAGTAAGCAAACAATATGCTATCGCATCTCTGGCGTTGCGCCCAGGGCGATCTGCAAGTTGAAAGGAACCGAAAAGCACGCCCGCCTTGATGTCCACCGTCACCAACCTCGGCACGTAGGCGTCCCTGCCCCGGAACTGCACCTCCTGCTCGGTCGCCAGGAGCTCCTGCCCGGCAGGGCCGCAGACACTTAAGGGGTCCGCGCCCAGAAGAGCGTCGGGCGCTCCAGAGGATCTGCCCCCAGTCCCCTGCCGGAGCCCCTTCAGGACCCCCCCCAGGAGGCCGAGATCCTCCAAACACTGGAGGCGCATCAACAAATGGTTGCCTTCTCGCCTGTTGGCTTCCGATGGGCTTCTGAAGCCTCAGGATGGCCCAAAAGAGAGGCCCAAGAGGGGCCCAAGATGCCCCTCAGACGGCCCCCAAAGCACCCAATAGTGCCCCAAGAGGGCCCCAGGAAACGGTCTTGAAGGCCCCAGCGAGGGGGACGGACATCGGGGACCCCCCCCGGCAATGGGGGAGCCCCCCTCAAGAGGTCTTGCAGGGCTCCCAACGAGGACGTTGACTCCCAAGAGGTCCTGCGCGCCTCGGGTTGTTGCGAGCCGGCCCTTCTGAGAGCAGCGGGCCTTGCACGCGTCTCGCCGTCGTCGGGCGCCCGGGGCGCTCCCCAGGCCCCCAGCGCTGCCACAGAGCGGGTCGGGACGGAAAGCTGGCCCCGGCGAGAGGTGAGCAGGAACCGACCGTCCCGGCATTTCTGCAGTCCTACCACGAAATGTTCTCAGAACCCGAAAACGCTCGAATCACGAAAAAACAATGTTCTCAGAACGCAAGCCCGATGCGATAAAACAAGACAGACTCCGCCAGAAATGTTCCAAGAACATCTCGTGGAAACCACAAAAGGTTCTTAGGGCACTGCTTGGTAGGGCTATAGGCGAGCCAGGACGCTTCGCCACTGCCTGAGGAAGCAAAAGCCCGTGGGGCCCACGGCCCGCTACTGCCAGGATTAAGTCGGGCCTGTTCCCCTACAGGGAATTTTCGACGAAAACTAAAAAAAACCCAAAAGATCATCCTAAAATAGTCTGGGGACTATTTTTTGAATATGGTTTTTTGGGAGCATTTTTGGGGTATTTCTTATGTTTCGTCGAATATCCCTCTGTAGGGGGACACGCCCGACTTGATGCCAGGACCCGTCCCCTCCATGCGCGGAGGAGGCGAGGCGCCCAGCGCCGGGCGACCACGGGCGGCGCGCGGGCGGGCCGGCGCGAGGCACGCGGGCGCGCGGCGCGGGCGGTCCTTGTAGGTCTGCCGGAGGTAGCGCTCGTGGGCGACCTGGGGGCGGCAGGCCCCGATCGGGGGGGGGGGGCGCCCCGTCGGAGGACCTGCAGGGGTCGAGGCCTCCCCCCCCCCTCGGGGGGGGGGAGGAGGAGGAGGAGGAGGAGGAGGGGAGAGGAGGAGGAGGAGGAGGAGGAGGAGGAAGGAGGAGGGAGGGAGGAGGAGGAGGAGGAGGAGGAGGAGGAGGAGGAGGAGGAGGAGGAGGAGGAGGAGGAGGAGTAGGAATGTGCCCCTGGCTTCAGGTGCCCCCCGCTTGTCCCTCCATTTTGGAGATCCTTGGGCCCCCATGGGCCTCGTGAGGGGTGCTCTGGAGGCCGCGGGGGCCTCCTTGGACATCCTGGGGGCACCGTGGGCCGGGGGCACTTCTAGCAACACCCGACGACCCGCAGGGCCCCCGGTCCCTGAGCTCCTGGCGCTGCAGCCGTGTCGCGCTGGGCGTCTTCGCCCCGCTGCAGGCCCCGGGGCATCCAGATCGATATCTCGCTCAGGGAAGGCAGCAGGAAAATGGGGTCTGGGGCTCTGTCGTGATGCTTCGGGGCTCTTCCCACTCCGGGCTCTTCCCACTCCTCTCGCGGTGTCGGATCTCAGGGGGCCCTCAAGGGCTGAAGCCACCCAGGGCCCCGGATCCGCCCGATCAGAGCCATGTGCTGGCCTGTGTCCGAGAGAGAGGGAGAGAGAGGGAGAAAGAGAGAGAGAGAGAGAAAGAGGAGGAGAAGGAGGAGGAAGACAGGAAAACCAAGACGCACCAAAGATGTTGCATTCAACCCTCCCGCTAACTTCCCTCTCCATCACTTGGTCCCTACTGAATATGATTTTCATTGCGGGACGTGCACCATTGACCATTGGAAGAGATACGCGTCTGGTAATCCTCGATCGTGCCGAAAAGTACATTCCTGGGACATCAACGCGAGTCACAGGGGCTACTGCGCCCTGACATCCTAAATCACTCCAGAATTCCACTCCTGGACTTCAGCACCGCGAATCAACGTGACTGTTGCGTCCTGGCAATTCTGAATCTGATTCTTGCAAGAACACTACTCGTGGGACTTCACCACCGCGGACCAACGTGACTGTTGCGTCCTGACAATTTCAGGTCGCGCAAAGACACCATTCGTGGCACTTCAGCGCCGCGAACCAAAATAAGTGAGCGTTTTCTTACTCGGCGTTTCGACACTGGGCGGAAGGGAGGGAGGGGTGGGGGGTTATGGCTCCGGACCCCTGCTTAGTGAGACTGTTTTCAACAGTGCGTCCCGCGGGGGAGGCTCGACCTGCTCGAAACAGGCGCCCAACACAGCCAAGATCTACTCCTTAAGGGGGGCGGGGGTGGAGGGGGGAGTGCGAGGGCCCGCGCCTATCGGCAGAACAATGAACAACAAAACGTTCACTAACTGTTGCGTTGGGCGCCCGAATATCCAGGGTAGCTCGGGCCTGGGGTAACTCGGGTTCGGATTCCCGAAAAACGAACCCGAATTAGCCCTGACCCGAATTACCCCTGATATATTAGGGCTCTGGACGCCCGAATTATCCGGGGTAACTCAGGCCCGGGGGAACTCCGGTTCGGATTCCCGCAGAAAACAAACCCGAGTCATTATCCGGGGTAACTCAGGCCCGGGGCAATTCGGGTTCGGATTCCCGAAACACGAACCCGAGGTAGCCCTGACCGGAGTTATCCCTGATGATTCGGGGCTCTGATTGCGTCGTCCCCATTTGCTGTGGAATTCGTCTGGCCCGAGCCGACTGTCTTTCTCGACGATCCGATGCGGCCCGCTGTCTGCGTGGCGTCGTTTTGTGCACCCCGGCGCGGCCGATCCCGATCTGACTCGACGCCGCTTCCGTGCCGCTGCGGCCCCACCCGACGCGCACTCCGATTTGCTCCGCTGCCCCGTGCTGTCTCCGCATTCCGATTTGACGCGAGCTCCGATTTGATCCGACTTGGTCCGCATTCCGATTCCGACTTCGAGGCTGCCTGATCCCGTTCCTTCAAAACTCGGAGGTCCGCGCGGACTTCTCGGATGGGCGCTGGACCGCCCTGGCGGCGCCTCTGGCGCCGCCCCTGGCGCGCTCCGCGCGCCAGGGAGCGGGGTCCCGCGCGGATCCAAGAAGTGGGCGCGGACATCCGAGATGTTACGCTCGTGCCATTTTTCGTTCCCCATGTTCTCCCGGCGTGCTCCCCCCCCTCGTCCGCGCAGGCGCCCCTTCCCCCTCCTTCCTGGGAGACTTCCCGGCCAGGCATTTCCTGGCCCCCCTCGCCAGACGACTCACGGGACCGTCCGCCCAGGCGCAATGGGGGCGGCGGCTCCACCCCGCGCCCCCGAGCGGAGCGCGCACGGAGGGCGGGCCGGAGCCCGGGCTGCACTCGAATGGGCGGGGCCGGCCGCCCCCCCACCCCAGGGGGACGTACAGCGGGCACGATGAGAGATCATGCCAAAAGAGATCCATGCTGCGGCCGCTCCCAGAATCTTGCCGACGCTCCTCCTCCTCCCTTCTCCTCCTCCTCCTCCTCCTCCTCCTCCTTGTCCTCCTCCTCCTCCTCCTTGTCCTCCTCCTCCTCCTTGTCCTCCTCCTCCTCCTCCTCCCCTCCTCCTTGTCCTCCTCCTCCTCCTCCTCCTCCTCCTCCTCCTCCTCCTCGTCCTTCTCTCCTCCTCCCTCCTCCTCCTCCCCCTCCTCCTCCTCCCTCCTCCGCCGCCGCCGCCTATGCGTCGTCTATCTGCAGTCTCCCCGAGGTGCCCCCCAGGACTGCTGAGGCTCCCCGGGGCCTCTGCGGGATAAGCATTTCGACTGCAGGACCAGCTGGCAAGCTGATTTCTGATCTGATGGGACCCCTACACTGCCGTAGCAGGCACAGAAAAACAGGCTACAGTTATATGAGCTCCTCCGCTGGCAAACAGACCCACGAAGATAAGGTCACCGAATGTTCATTCCGAGGAATCACCCGACTTTAGCTGCCTGGTCTATCGAGGAAGCCATGGTGAACACAGAAAAGCATGGCCTGGAACCCCAGCCTTACCAGAACGACCACACAAGGCTGTCAAACTGATTACTCGACGCGTCGATCCCCATATGTGCATTTCATTGTCCTGGCACGTTCTCTCTATGGGTACATGTCAATTAGCGTCTGTGTGCGATCGAATCGCTCGCTCGAGACATTTCCGCAGTCTGCAGTTTGAAGTGTGTGAATCGCAAGTCTGAGTGTGGGCGAATATGAATGCAAGTGAGCCTGGGTTTGAGAGGGTCTGAGTGTGAGTATGTCTGAGCGAGTAAATCTGAGCGTGAGAGCGTCTGTGTGAGTGGGTCTGAGTCTGAGTGGGTCTGAATATGAGTGAACCTGAGTGTGAGCGAATATCGGCATCATGGGTCTGAGCGTGATTGAGTCTGAGTGTGAGTGAGTCTGAATACGAGTGAGCCTGAGTGTAAATCGGAGTGTGAGCGAGTCTGAGTATGCGTGAGTCTGAAGGTGGGTGAGTCTGTGTGTGAATGGGGGAGAGGAGGGGGAGGAGGGGGAGGTGAGGCGGCGGCATGTGAGCAAAACCCTTCTGGCGGCTCCCTCTTGGAGTGCTGAAGCAAGCGCCTCGCTTGTCAAAATCCTCGAGACCATCCTTTCACTCTGCCTGATCGCGCATCCTCCTTCACTCCCCTCTTCCTGACCTGTCATCTTTCCCCCCCACCTCTTTCGGTCCTCCTCCTCCTCCTCATCCTCCTCCTCCCCCTCCTCCTCCTCCTCCTCCTCCTCCTCTCCTCCTCCTCTTCCTCCTCTTCCTCCCCCTCCTCCTCCTCCTCCTCCCATCCCCTCCTCCTCCTCCTCCTCCTCCTCCTCCTCCTCTCTCCTCCTCCTCCTCCTCCACTCCTCCTCCTCCTCCTCCTCCTCCTCCTCCTCCTCCTCCTCCTCTCTCCTCCTCCTCCTCCTCCTCCTCCTCCGCCTCCTCCTCCTCCTCCTCCTCCTCCTCCTCCTCCTCCTCCTCCTCCTCCTCCTCCTCCTCCTCCTCCTCCTCCTCCTCCTCCTCCTCCTCCTCCTCCTCCTCCTCCTCTCCTCCTCTCCTCCTCCTCCCTCCTCCTCCTCCTTCCTCCTCTTCCTCCTCCTCCTCCTCCTCCTCCTCCTCCTCCTCCTCCTCCTCCTCCAAATGCTTCGGAAATCCTCGAGCTCTTCCGTGAAGGCAGCGCCTCGCTCGAGACCTCCTCACAGCTTCTGCTGTGGAGCGCACGCGGGCCCAGGCTGCCGAGCAGGGCAGGCCGCCCGAGACAGGCCCACCACCTGGGCGCGAAGCACGAAGCGTCCCCAAACCCTGGCGCCCCCCCCTCGCGGGGGCCCCCAGTGTCGGGTCGGGCGAAAGCGGGGGGATGGCAAAAAAGGGGGTTTGAGAATCAGCTCACGTGGCTGATTTTCCCGGCGCCTCCCGGCGCCGGAGGCGGCTGTGTATTAAGGAATGGGCCCCTCGGTGAGGCCGGCCGAAACCAGCTGCATGCAGCGAATTTCGTACCCCCCCCAATCCCAATCCCCCCCTTTCGTCCGGCCCGACAATGCCAGGCCTGCCATATTGCTGTGAGCATTGGACCGCTGAACACACGTCGGGGGGGGGGCGAACGAGGCAACATGCATGCAAAATCCCTACAATCTGGCCGCGAATCCGGAAATATCCTGACCCCTGGCGCCCCCCCGTGCCACGCCTGCAATATCGCGGTGGGCATTGAACCACCAAAAAAGAAAACACCTGGGGGCCGAAACAAGCAAACCGCCTGCGACCACAATTTAAGCGCGAACGGGCCTGTGAGATACCCCCACGGCGGCTCCCGTTCAGGAGTGCTGAAACCGGCGCCACGCCTGAGACATCCTGAACAGCTGCTCCGAAAGCAACGGATATGTTGGAGGGACAGAAACAAGCAAATCGCCTGAGACATCAAGACGAGCTGTGCGCTGGTTTTGGGATGTCCCCTTCAATGGCGCCCTCGTCCCTTGGGAGTACTGAACCCAGCGCCTCGCCTGAGACACACCCACACTCTGCTCCGAAAGCGGACGATGTTGGGGGGCAGAATCAAGCACGCCGCCCGCGACGTCTCCACAAGCTGGGCTCTAGTTCTGGAGTGTCCCCACCACTGGCGGCCCCATCTGAGGAGTGCTGAAACCAGCTCCCCGCCTGAAATATCCTCACAATCTGCTTCAACAACAGGGGATGTTGGGGGGCAGGAACTGGCAAACTGCCTGAGACATCCCCACAACCTGGGCGAGAGTCCTGGAGTGTATTCACCCCAGGCGCCCCCTACACCTGGGAGAGCTGAAACCAGGACCTCGCCTGAGACACCCTACAATCTGCCCAGAAAGCTGGGGATGTTGGGAGGGCAGAAGCAGGCAAACGGCCTGAGACATCTGCACCATCTTGACGCGAATCCTGGCGTGGGTTCGCCCCAGGCGCCCCTTCCCTTGGGAGTGCTGAAACCAGCGCCTCGCCTGAGACATCCTCACAGTCTGCTCCGAAAGCGGGGGATGTTGGGGGGCAGGAACAGGCAAACCGCCTGAGGCATCCACACGATCTGGGCGTGAATCCTGGAGTGTGTTCGCCCATAGCGCCCCCTTGCAGTGGGAGTGCTGAACCTAGCGCCTCGCCGGAGACATCCTCAGAATGTTCCGAAGGCGGACTCCTGCACAATCTTGTCGCGAATCCTGGAGTGTGTTCCCCCCCTGGCGCCACCCCTTCTGGGAGTCCTGAAACCAGCGCCTCGTCTGACACATCCTCACAGTCTGCTGCGAAAGCAAAGGATGTTTGGGAGCAGAAGCAAGCAAACCGCCTGAGACATCCCCACAAGCTGGGCGCGAATCCTGGAGTGTGCTCGCCCCTGGCGTCCCCACCTCCCCCCGTCTGGGAGTAATGCAACCAACGCCTCGCCCGAGACATCCTCATAACCTGTGCGTGGGTGTGAATAATTTTGAATTCGAGGGAGTCTGAGTGACGAAATCCTGTGACTGAGTCTTCTGAGTGAGTCTGAGTCTGAGTGGGTCTGAGTGGACCTGCATGAGTGGATGATGTGGCTGAGCCTGCGTGGGGAAGAGGAAGTCTGTGATGGACCCCGCGAAGAAGAGTGGGTCTGTGATGGACCCCGTGATGTGTGCGAGTAACTGAATGATGTGAGAGCGGAGAAGAGGAACAGGAGGAAGATGAGGAGGATGAGGATGAGGATGAGGAGGAGGAAGGTCCGGAGGCGTCCGAATAATACGAGGGTACCCTTCCCAAGTTAGAAGAAGATGAGACGCCATAAACATAAACTTGTTGCGCTCCGCGCGGATTTCTTGGATCTGCGCTGGACACCCCTCCCTGGCGCGCGGGGCGCGGGCCCAGCGCGGATCCAAGAAATCCGCGCGGAGCGCCACAAGTTTATGTTTATGTCGTTTTACCTTCTTCTACAGGTTGCACAAGAGCATGCAAACACAACACAACATATTTGATACTCTCACCGAGCCGAGCATGTCCTATTACGCCCCGCTTCGACCGTACGTTTAGGTAGGGCATGTCCCCCTACAGGCGAATGTTGGACGATCAATAAATGCTGCTCAACCGATATTTACGCACAGTCAAACAGCTAGTCAAAACATCGTCCCCTGATTATTTGTTGACTGTTTTTGAAAATTCCTCCTGTAGACCGACACGCCCGACTTAAAACAAGAAAACTCGAGGGTACCTTTCCCCAGGTTGCACGACAGCATGCAAACACAACGAAGAACATTCGACAACCCTAGGGGAACATAACAAAAAGTGACGTAAACATAGAAAACTCGGAGGTCCGCGCGGATTTCTCGGATCGGCGCTGGACCTCCCTCCCTGGCGCGCGGAGCGCGCCAGGGGCGGCGCCGAAGGCGCCGCCGGGGGTCCCTGCGCCGATCCGAGACATCCGCGCGGACCTCCGAGTTTCTATGTTTACGTCACATTTTGTTCCCCTAACAAGAGCATGCAAACACAGCGAAGAACATCCGGCAACCCTCACCGAGCCGAGGATGAGGATGAGGATGAGGATGAGGATGAGGATGAGGATGAGGATGAGGAGGAGGAGGAGGAGGAGGAGGAGGAGGAGGAGGAGGAGGAGGAGGAGGAGGATGGAAGAGGAGGATGGAGGAGGAGGATGGGAGGAGGAGGAGGAGAAGGAGGAGGGGAGGAGGATGAGGAGAGGACGAGGAGGGGAGAGGGGAGGAGAGGAGGAGGAGGAGGTTCGAAGAGGAGGGTGGAGGATGGAAGGGGAGCCTGTTCCCTCCCGCCCCGCTCCGGCCGTGCGCCCCGCGCGGGCGGGGAGGCGCGCACGGCGGGGAGGCTCGCTCGCGCACGGAGGAGAGGGGCCGCCGCGGGGCCGCGCGCCTGCTGCGCCACGTTCTGCATCATGGTGCCGCGGGAAGGTGTTGCCTCGGTCGGGGCGCGGAGGAGGAGGAGGAGGAGGAGGAGGAGGAGGAGGAGGAGGAGGAGGAGGAGGAGGAGGAGGAGGAGGAGGGAAGAGGAGGAGGAGGAGGAGGTGTTGCTTCGGTCGGGGCGCGCGCTCGGGGAGGTGCTGCCCTAGGATTCTCCTCGGCGAACCCGCTCGCCGTCGCTCGGACGTCCATTTCCCGTGCATTTGTCGGCTTCGTGCGTTTTTTTTTTTTTTGCTCGATGGTCCAGGAGGGTCCTCGATGGTTGTCGCCGAGAAAACATGCACACGTCCGAGCGATGCCAAGCCCATGAAATGCAGGAGGAAATCTATAGGAACCCTCAGGACATCCATGGGAGCCCAGAGGAAATCAGCAGGGCCCCTCAGGATATCCATACGACTCCTGAGGATATCCATGGGATTCCATGGGACACTCATCGGACTGCCAAGGAAATCCATAGGATTCCTCAGGCAATCCATCGGTTTCCCCCGGACATCCATAGGATTCCACAGGCAACCCATCGGAATCCGAAGACAATCAATCGAATGCGGCGCCCCTCGCCCCTGGAGGCGCACGTCCGGACCGAGCACATAGCACAAACATGTTCTGGTATCTCGTTGCCCTGGCTGCAAGGCCAGAAGCACCCGCCACCGACCATACGCCAACGATCATACACTGAGTGCGTTGGGGTGATGCCAGGGAGGTGCTGATCGGCGGCGCTGCCTCTGTCAGGAGCTGCATCGTGCTGCTCGGGGAGGTGCTGCCTCGGTCGGGGAGGTGCTGAGCTCCAACGATGTGTTTTGCTCGACTCGATCTCGGCCTCTGGAGTTGGCCTTGGGGCCCACAGGGATGGACCTGGGACGGGCAGCTGCCTCCTGAGGGGGGCGGCTGGGACGACCCCGAGGCCTAAGCGCAGTCAGCATCGCAGCGGGAAATCGGATCGGATCGGAACGTGCCTCGAGTCGGACCGCATCGGCTCGGCGTCGGAATCGCATCGGCGCGCCACGACGCACACGACAACGCCCACATGCCAGCACTGGTCCGCCTCGGACCGCCTGGCGAGCCTCGGAATCGCGCCAGCTCGGTCCGGCCAGAGCCGACGTCGAGTCGGATCGATCGAGTCGAAGTGGACCCTGAGGTGGTGGTGCTGCCTGCCCCCAGCGGCGCGCGAGCGCGCGACGTGGCGGCCGTGCTCTCCGCGCGGCCGTGCGAAACACGGGCTCGGGGCGGGTGGTGGTGGTCAGGGGAAGGGCGCAGTGCGTGTGCACTCTGGACGATTCGACGGCCTTCCCCCAGTCCTGAGCATCGCTTCACCGATGCCTATCCCCCACGAGCGTGGCCTGAGCCCCGCTGGCCGATCTACCCCCCCTCGATGGGGATGTGGGCTGCTCCCTTCGAGATTCGAGGGGCACGTCCCAAACTGGGATTGTGGGATGGTGGGGATCGGGATGAGAGCGGAGATGGGGCTCCTCCCCTCCTCCTCGTCGTCCTCGTCCACCCCGTCCTCCTCCTCCTCCTCCTCCTCCTCCTCCCCCTCCTCCTCCTCCTCCTCCTCCCCTCCTCCCTCCCCCCCCTCCTCCTCCTCCTCCTCCTCCTCCTCCTCCTCCTCCTCCTCCTCCTCCTCCTCCTCCTCCTCCTCCTAGGGATCAGTCGAATGATACTGACGTCCTCCTCCGAGATGGGAGGGGGCAGCGCGCGCGGTGCCTCGACAACCGCGCGGCGGCGGGGAAGCGACGGCTCCTGCGCGCCGTGAGCCGTGCTGCGTCGGCGCGCAGGCGGTCCGAGCCCCGCTCGCGGCGGCAGGGATGAGCTCCTCCTCCTCCTCCTCCTCCTCCTCCTCCTCCTCGGCCTCGGCCTCTGCCTCCTCGTCCTCGCCCTTCTCCTCGTCTACGTCCTCGCCCTCCTCCTCCTACTCCTCCTCCTACTCCAACTCCTCCACCTCCTCCTCGCCCTCCTCCTGCTCGTCCTGCTCGTCCTGCTCGTCCTCGCCGTCCTCCTCCTCCTCCTCCTCCTCCTCCTCCTCCTCCTTTCTTTTCTTTCCTTATAGATAGCGTTTCCCTGTCGCACCCCGAAACCAGTTTTTAGGGCGGGCCAGGCGTTTCGCCTGAGACTTCCTCACCATTTACCATGGGAACAACTTCACAGATGGAGGGCGGGTCGTTTTCAAAATGTGGTTCTCGCCTCAGCGCCGCGCGCATTCGTTTTAAGCATTTGCAAAGAGTTTCACGGATTGAGGGCGGGTCGTTTTCAAACTGTGACTCTCGCCTGAGCGCCGCGTGCATTCGTTTGAAACCATCTTCAGGAGCTTCCAGGATTGAAGGCGGGTGGTTTTCAAAATGTGGCTCTCGCCTTAACGTCGCGCGCGTTCGTTTTAAAACAACTCGCAAGAGCTTCAAGGATTGAGGGCGGGTGGTTTTCAAACTGTGGCTCTCGCCTTAGCGCCGCGCGCATTCGTTCCAAATACTTGCAAGAGCTTCACGGATTGAGGGCGGGTCGTTTTCAAAATGTGGCTCTCGCATCAGCGCCGCGCACATTCCTTTCAAACAAATGCAAGTGCTTCCCTGATTGAGGGCGGTTCCTTTTAAACATGTGGTTCTCGCCATAGTGCCGCACATCCTCGTTTCACACCACGTGCAAGAGTTTCACGGAATCCCATGATCAAAGTACCAGACATGGTGTGTTGGACGGATTCAGGAGCATGCGGGTGCAACAATTCTGTTGGTTCGCGGTGTTGAATCCTCGCAACGGCGTTCTGGCACGATTCCAGATGGTCAGGGCGCAGCAGTCAGGTTGATCCGTGGCGTGGACATCCCGAGAACAATAGTTTGGCATGCTGCAAGGTCTTCAAACGATTGTCTTCCAACGAGGCAGTTCCCTCAATGGACATGGACTGTTGTAGGGGCCTATGAGGAGGGAGATTGGAGGGAGAGGTAATTCCATCATCGTTGATGACTCTTGGGTTTACACTGGTCCTCCTCCTCCTCCTCCTCCTCCTCCTCCTCCTCCTCCCCCTCCTCCTCGTGCTCCTCGTGCTGCTCCTCCTCCTCCTCCTCCTCCTCCTCCTCCTCCTCCTCCTCCTCCCTCCTCCTCCTCCTCCTCCTCCTCCTCCTCCTCCTCCCCCGCCTCCTCCTCCTCCTCCTCCTCCTCCTCCTCCTCCTCCCTCCTCCTCCTCCTCCTCCTCCTCCCCCTCGTCCTCCTCGTGCTCGGCCTTCTCCTCGTCTTCGTCCTCGCCCTCCCCCTCCACCTCCTCCTACTCCTCCTCCTCCTCCACCTCCTCCTCGCCCTCCTATCCTCCTCCTCCTCCTCTCTCCTCCTCCTCCTCCTCCTCCTCGTTCTCGCCCTTCTCCTCGTCTACGTCCTCGCCCGCCCCTCCTCCTCCTCCTCCTCCTCCTCCTCCTCCTCCTCTCCTCCTCCTCTCCTCCTCCTCCTCCTCCTCCTCCTCCTCCTCCCTCCTCCTCCCCTCCTCCTCCTCCTCCTCCTCCTCGCCCTCCTCCTCATCGTCCTGCTCGTCCTAGCCCTCCTCTTCCTCCTCCTCCTCCTCATCCTCCTCCTCCTGCTTCCTCCTCCTTACCTCCCCTCCTCCTCCTCGTGCTCCTCGTGCTCCTCGTCCTTTTCCCCCTCCTCCTCCTCCTCCTCCTTCTCCTCGGCCTCCTCTTCCTCGCCCTTCTCCTCGTCGTCCTAGCCCTCCTCCTCCTCCTCCTCCTCCTCGTCCTCTTCCTCCTCCTCCTCCTCCTCCTCCTCCTCCACCTCCTCCTCGCCCTCCTCCTCCTCCTCTCCTCGTCCTGCTCGTCCTCGCCCTCCTCCTCCTCCTCCTCCTCGCGCTCATCCTCCTCCTCCTCCTCCTCTTCTTCTTCTCCTTCTTTTTTTTATTATTTTTTTCTTCTTCTTATTCTCATTATTGTTTTTCTTCTTCTTCCTCCTCCTCCTCCTCCTCCTCCTCCTCCTCCTCCTCCTCCTCCTCCCCCCTTCTTCAGCATGGATGGGCCGGGGTCCTGGAGGCAGTGAGCTTTGGCAACTGTTCGACGTCCTCGGGCCCCCGGGGCCTCCAAGAGGTCCATGGGGTGGGAGGCTCGGGGTGGACGAGGGGTCTCCAGGCTCGAAGGTGTCGAGGAGGGCAGAGGGGAAGGTGCGAGCTAGGTGCGCACGCGTCATATCTGACGTCCTGCCTCTCCCATAGATCCCTTACCATTGCCTAGATATTTTGTTTTCTCTCTCTCTCTCTCTATCTCCGCAGAGTCGGATGTCGAACAGGGCAGTGGTCCCGAGAGAGTACGCGATGCATGGTGCAGCACGGCATAGCACGGCATAGAAGAGCACGGCGAGAGGGGATGGGGGAGAGGTTCGAGGGGAACCCCTCTCCCTGTCGCCCCTCGCGCTCTCCAGCGGCCGCGCACCCGCCAGAGAGCGCGAGGCGGGGGGAGATTGCAGAAGGGAGGAGGTGGAGGAGGCGAGCGAGGCGAGCGCGCGATGTCCGCCCTGCGGGGCCGGCCCCACGCGGGCAGCGCGGGGATGGCCAAGGGGAGGAGGTGGAGGTGGAGGTGGAGGTCGAGAGAGGTGGAGGTGGAGGGGATTACCAAGGGCCTATCCATCTCCGCTTAGCCAAGGGCCAAGGGAATGTCAAGGGGAGGTGGAGGTCATCCTGAGCGCTGAGCGGTGGTGGCGGGTTCGTCCACAGGGGAACGACGCCATCGTCACCCACTCTCCGGGAAACGCCGAGGGAGGGGGAGGGACCTACAGATTCTGGGTTGGCCTCGCGCACGCCCGCGAAGGGTCTGAAGGTCCAGGAAAATAATAAGTCCTTCCAAAACGATGGCGACGAAGACGAACGACGACGGCAAAGACGACATACGACACGATGACGACGGACGAACGTACGCAACAACGCGAATAATCCCACCAAGCCTTTAGGGCGTGAATGGTTTCGCGAGCTTCCTCTTCCAATCCGCGTCTTCCCCTTCGGGGAGGGGTTCACCACTGTTCCCTACTAAACACACACACACACACCCCTCCCCCGGGCGACTTGCAGCCAACCAGGGAAATGCTGACCCCATGATCACCCCCCCCCAAACATACCCATCAAAAAGGAATGCAAAACACGCACTGGCTCCAAATTCAGAGCATGCGCAACCCGCCCGATGCGGGCCCCCAGCCCAACCACCCCCGTCAAAAAACAATACAAAATACACTTTGGGGCAAAGTCTTGAGTCATGTTCAAGGGGCCCGCGAGCACTTTGTGTGCTTTTTTTGACAGGGGCGCGGGGGGTCAACATCTTGCCTGCTGTGCGCCGGGCCACCATCCCTCTCGAAAGCAATGCAACATGCACCTCGCGGCAAAATCTGGATCACACGCGGCCGCCCTGCGATCACTGTCAAGTGGTTTTCGACGGGGACGGCGGGGGTGGTGGCACATGGCCTGCTGTCTGCAGGCCCACCAGGCACCATGGCATGGTGGGCATGGTTTTTGACAAGGACGGTGGGGGCCAACATGTTTCCCGATGTGTGCTGTCACGTGCGCAGGCGCACCTGACTCACTCTGCACGTGTCGCGAACGTGGCGCACCTGGCGCGGCGGGGGTATGCGGTACACCTGGCTCACGTGGCGCATCTGGCGCACCAGTCGTGCCTGGCGCGCTCGGGCCCCAGGGGTGCCTGGCGCGCGTGGCGCGCCTGGCACGCGTGGCGCACCTCGCCCCAGCGTCGCGCATATGGGGTCGGTCTTGCTTCCCAGTAGCTGGCCATCCAAAGACGACCGCTGAGAGGCTCGGGTGCTAGTTCTGTGATGGGAGGGTGGGTGGGAATGAGCTAGACGGCTTGCTGTCTAGGAAAGTGTCTTAATCACTGCTCCTTATTAGTGCACACCCCCTCTCCCACCCGACTGTGGGCCAACCGGGGACATGGCCCCCCTCACCATCCTGTCAAAGAACAGTGCAGAATGCACTCTGCCTCCAAATCTCGAGCATGCGCGGTCGCCCCGCGACCACCCTGCATCAGATTTTGACTGGGACGGCGGGGGTGCCGGCATGCTGTTTGCTGCGCGCGAGTTGCGCGCACGCCGAACGCCCCCTGCCAACAAAAAAACACAAAGCACACTGCACTTTGCCTCCAGATCCGGAGCACTCGGCGGGCGCCCCGTGGCCACTCGGCGGGCGCCCCGCAGCCACTCTGCTCTTGTGTTTGGCAGGGATGGCGGGGGTGCCGGCATGCTGCTCGATGCGCGCAGGCCAGCCATCCCTGTCAACACACAGTTGCATAATCCACCCGGTGACGGCTGTGCAGTGGCGCACCTCGCACGCACTGCGCGCGCCGAGCACGTGGCGCACCTGGCGCGGCTGAAGCGCGTGGCGCTTTTGGCGCTCTTGCAGCACGTGCCGCACGTGCCGCGCCTCGCACGCTTGGGCCTCCAGGGGGCCTGGCGCACCTGAACCCGTGGCGCAAATGGCATGCGTGGCGCTCCTCGGCGATGTGCTGAGACTTGGGTACTACTTCTGTGTTGGGAGGGCGGGTAGGAGTGAGCGTGACGGCTTGCAGTCTTGGGGGGGCCTCCACCCCTTCCCCTACCCCCAGCCCCTGGGTCTGGAGGGGGGGAGTGTCGCGTGTCGTTGGAGCGTCCAAGAAGGCCTCGGCGAGAAGGCAAGAATCATTGATTTTACAAACAAATGTTGGGCCAATCTAGGCTCTAGAGGGGGCGGGCGCTAATTTGAACCACTCCCTTCTTTGATCGACCACCTTCAAGATGGCCCCGAAATGGCCTCTGGGGCTCCCGAGAAAAAACCCCAAAAGGGTCCCAAGAGGC